AGTTTAGATCAACGTGTTTTATCATTTTTATTTTTGTCTCTGAAAAAGTTATGCTTGTAAACTAGTGACATCGGTAGTGTGTCGGATCATTAATGTAATGGCCCTGAGTTCGACCCACACAGGGAGTGTTTTTATTTTTATTGTTACTTTTTTTTAAACTTTTTTTTTTATAAGTAATAGTATTACTTGTATATCTTAATCCTAAACAAATAGTTCTCTTTGCCTTAAGACTATAATTAATATATTTATATTGCTGTGATATCGTTATGGCGGGTACGTATATGGCGGACGTCGTTATAGCGAACTATTATGTGACGTCATAGTTTATGACGTCACAACATAAACTTCAAATAAACAGTCTGAGGAATTTCCTAGAAAAGATGAAAGTACTAAAGACTCGTTGTTAAGAATTTTTCTTTTTATGATATATATATATATATTAACCTGTAACTGTGATTAAGATTCGGTACTCTACCGGTGTATGATTGCATGCAGCTCAACTATTTTAATAGTGAATGGCTCATTTTATAGTGTCGATGATAATATGTTTCAATATGTTTATTTTATTGTTGATTAATGTGATGAATTGATACGGAAATAGATAAATATCACGTCTCCCCATTATGTCTGTACTGATTAACCACAAGGTTAAAATAAAGAGAGAATGAAGGAATGAAAGAAACACGGAGTCCGATCCTGCCCCGATCCATATCAATAAGCAATACTCTTATTTCGCTACAATTCTTTTATCAAATATATCTTATACCCGATACGCATAATTAAATAAATACATATAAGTTAATTCGATCCTGCCGCGATCATGTTATTGCATTTTTTAATACCCGATAAGGATAATTAAATATATACAATAAATATATATAATATAAGTCCGATCCTGCCCCGTTTCTGTCCGCTCCTGTTAATCGTCGCCCGTTCCTGCCCAATCCATATCAATAAAATACTCTTAATTCCTTGCAATTCTTTTATCAAATATTATCTTATACCCGATAAAAAAAAATCAAATAACACATAAGATATATTTTAGTGCAGTTGCTATATATTCTATATGTATATTTAAACTCTATGTATTCTATACTTTAAGGGGCATAATTCCAAAAGATACCCTACCTACAAAATGTAAGTGACGGTAACAGTGAAAGAGAAGGAGAGTGTGAGCCAGACAGTCACTAAGGCTACATTCGCGTATCCCGGTTGAAACGGTACGAACGAACACATGTACACTTGGACCGTTCTATAAGCAGAGCAAAAAATCCACAGTTTCGGAGAAAAAAACCCAGTGTTTCAAGAATATTATGGCCTTCTTTCATCCGTCCACTGAATTACATAACGTAACTTAAAAACTACATGTATCTTGACATTGTTTTAGAAAGAAATAACGCAAATTGGCAATAGTCAGCATTTTAGTTTCGCTCAGCCTCAGGCACGTCTGGACCCCTCAATCTAAACGTGCCAAATTTTCCTGAGGTCAGCCTCTCGGTCCAGATCTGTACCTGTCGTTTTCTTAACAGGTTCAACCGGTAACGCGAATTTACCCTTGAAGACTTTAATACTGACTGAGAGCTGTGCTAGCTCACCGACTTATATAAACAAAACATGGCAATTTGCACGTGCATCCATGTAATTCACGCTCAAATACCCGGAACACTTCCGGATAGGTTCCGAATGAAACTTTATTACTTCCGGAATCAGGAAAACCCCCAAAACATGCAGACGAAGTTCGGTAAGCAAATAGCCTACAGAATCGTACTCAAAAGGTTAGTTTAATCAGGGGCAGTATATAGAGGGGATTGGCAACTCTCTGCCCCAGTCAAGATTCTATAGCACGTCACTTTTGTGTTTGTTCACCAAACCGCGAAGTCATCGAGAGTCTCTCTCGATCACCCCGCGCTAGCGCACTAGCGTTAAAATAAAGCACTTTCGCTGTAAAGCACGTTCCAGTGAAAATAATGGCATTAATGCTAATATTGACACTTTTGACACAAAAACAACACAATTTAATTGTTATGTTTTGCCATAAAAATTAGTACTACATATCAAAAAATTATTCAACTTTCTATCGCTGTAAATTTCAATAAGAAGTATTTTTTAAATGAGCTGATCCTCGAATGCAGGCGATCCTTTTTTGTTGCGTTTAACATTTCCGGTTGTTTACGTTTTTTAACAACACGTGTCCTTCGTTACCAGACGAGTAATTTCATCTGTGACATCGCTATCGTTCCAAGTAATGCAAATCAAATCAGGCCTACTTAACATAGAAATTACTCCAAAGTACTGTTTATTGATATTATTTGTTTTAAAAAATATAATCGATAGTTTATAAAATTTAATAAAACGGTGAGCAGTTACCAGCTACTTTCGCAATAATGATTTACGTTCCAGTGAAAAATAATGCTGATAATACACTTTTTGACACAAAAATAACACAAGTTAAATTATATTATTCGCAAATAAAATTGGTTCGGTCGTTATACAAATTATTCAGCTTTCTATTGCTGCTAATTTAAAAAAGATTGGTCAAATACTTTTGGAGTGAGGTGGTTCACATACATGTGGGTTTTTTTTTATCCTGCATTTTTGTCTATCGATGCCCACCACAATACTCTGAACCACGCGTTACATCGCGTTTAAAAATAGAAAAAAAATACCCCAAAAACGAGACATCAATTACTTTGATACCACAGATTTTATCAATTATAAGTAATACAATCAGCTTATAACAATGGGATAAACAAAAGACGTATGAACACTTATCGAGATTGGTTTGTTTTCACACCAACTTCTGCATCTAACGAAGCAGTATCAACGCCATCTTGTTTCGTCAAAATTGAGATAGGTGGCGCTCGCTATCTGCTCCTGAATCAGGGGGAGGTAAGTCTAGATTGGCGTGTCATAACATTGGTAAGGCAAAGAGGGAGTTGCTAATCCCCTCCATTATACATCCCTGGTTTAATTTATAAATATTTCTCAAATTTTACACAAGTGTGATTTTTGAGAAGATAAGGTCCAACGTAAATCTGAAAGTAAACAAAATGTGATGAGTGACCATGAATAATATGTAATATTAGTATTTAACTCATGTCATTTTTTATTCATATCACCCTTTATTTCTGTATAATTCATGAACAAAACACTATATTATTCACATAAGGACTTGCACCACTAAATCAGCCAATCAGCAAGTGTTTCTTACATTTGTATTTCCTATCTAAAATCAGTTCAGGCTAATTACTGGGCCACTGAGGAAGTTTAATGAGGAACTGAAGACAGATTTTTAGATGAATGAAATGTACAGGTATTTCAATTTAGAAAAATGTATACTTGTGATACATTTCCATGTCTTATGTGTGGATTTGCACTGGGGCAAAATTTCTGGGGACATTTCTGTTTTGGGTCACCGTTTTCGTTGTAAACTTCTGGTTGTCAACTTTGGATGCTGTGACGCTCCAATATGCCACTTAACCTACGTATACCAAAAACGTAATTTTGTAGCCTTTGAAAGGTATGTAGGTATGTATCTATGAGACTAGACAGTTGTCACTGGTGTTGAACTTAAAATATTAAAGTTATTAGCTAAATGTTTAGTAATAACATAAAATAAATGATTTAGTTGTGCGAGTCCTTTCAGGATGAATAGCACATGCTCAGGTGACCCTCATCTTTCATTGATTCTCTGTTGTTTATGACTTATTTTTCGTATCACAGTGCTGTCCTCATGTCTCTAAACACTTGGCTAGAACTTTATCAGGCAAAATTATCAAAACTATCTTGTATGGCTTAGTGCCATGGGTGACTCGAGGGTTGATTATGGACTTGTCCGTGTTAAGTGTTCTGGCTCACCATTGCCCATTACAGTACACGATTATGACGAGACAATTTACCTTGCCTCATACATTGCAGGTGTCTCATTTGTGCCACAATGGCCTCTGTACCAAGTTTGAACACCTGGATGTTGAGCCTCAGACTTGTTTAGGCCATAGCCTTCATCCAAATTGTATTTTTTTTGACCAGTAGAGATAAACAACAATTCAAGTAAGTTTTAAAATTTAATAATCAAACAATTATTTACATGTATTGAATTTAAAAAAAAACCACACAAATAAACACACATTTTCAAAAGCACTGTCATCTTAACACACTTTTACTTATCACAGTTTTATTTTAGCACAGTCTGTTTTTAGGACATCCTCTTAGCATGAAGTCTTTGGTCATCCACTCCAGATTAATATGTCTCTGCAGGAACACGAGCCTTTGCATGCATGCGATACCATCTGATTCTGTGATATCCTCGCCTTAGTTTGAACATGAAATGTCTTTGATATTGCTGTTGATATAACTGTCTCTTTCTCAGGTATGTGATGTGACTGACTACACGTGAGCCACTCACCAAAGGACTGCCAACTGCACGTAGCCTCAGCACTGTAGAGTCTGCTATACTACAGTTGCACAGATGAACAGCAGTGTGAATTCTGGCTGGACAGTTGCAGTAATGAGTCATCATCTTCGGGTTTGTTTTCTGAAGCACTCTGTTAAAAGATTAAGATTTCTGAGTGCTTGTTAGTAGTTTGATGCTGTCCAGACACTCGGTGCTGAGGTACTTGAGCACACTTTGTTTTAAGTGATGTTCATCTTTAGCACTGCGGCGTAGCACTATCCCCTGTGGCAGAAATGTTTCTACAGTAGTTGTCTGGTAATTCTTGACAGCAATAACTGTACTCAGCACACATTTCTTCACAGTTTTCTTTGTAGCACTGTATCATAGCCTCAATGGCCATTGGCATATTCTTCTTTATCTGGTCAAGGTTTCCTTGGTGAACAATGTGTGCCCTTTCTAGCTCGGTAACACACCTGTTTCTTACATCAGTGGCCAGTCTAGACTTCAGCATTCCATATGGTAGACCTTGGAATTTCTGGAACAGGTCTGCACTGAATGTGCTCTTCGAAAACTCTCTCTACACTGATTTCACCAGGTGTGTGTTTTGCTGTCTCGTTCTGTGGTGAGGTAGTTGATTGTAGGAGTATCTGCAACCTCCTCTCCAACAATGGTGGCCCAGACTTCCTCATTCCCTATGGCAGCATCCTCAGTCACATTAGCTGTACACATGCCTGTGTGGTTAGGACAGGTGGCCTCTACCCCCACACCTTCTCAGGTAGTCAGCACACTTACACAGTTTTGTTGCCTGTGAACACACTTATGATTTTCTTATCTGATGTCATTTGTTCGAACTGGCTGGCTCCTTGATAAGGTGTCCAGTCTCCACTGAAAGGTGGGTTGTTTTACCTGCCATCCATCTCTGCATTGATGAGGTCTGGCTTCTCCAGTCCACAACTTGTATTTTCTGCAACAATTTTCTCTCTCAGACTTTCCATAATTGCCTTGCTCAGGGTGACAACTTTCTCCCTAACATGATGGGCTGTTTTCTGTAATCCGGTATAAGAGGGGGGATGATGTTGGCTGTAAGGCATATTTCAATCATTGCTGAATTGGATACTGATGCAGCCATGAGTGGTGTTTGTATACCCAAGTTCAGTTGACTCTGCCATTCGCCTCTCCTAGGGTTGGTTTTGTTTTTGTCCTCATACAGCTAATGCAGCTTTCACTTCCATATCCACATGTTTTGCAGTAAAGCTGCTTAGTCCAACCCCAGCCCCACTGTCTTGAGTTCTTCGAGTCAAACTGTAGATGGCCTGAGCAGTGCTTGTGTTGACGGTTGTGCTGACAGATTGCTGAATTCCATAACCTCTCCAAATCTATGGGCCGGTATAGCTTGTATGTGTAGCTGTCTGGGTGCTGTACTTCAGAATCCATGCAGGAATCTATAGGTGCCTTTGTTGGTTTGGGACGTAGAAGTTTCATGTTGGACGGCAAGCCCTAAGCATTAGATATTGTCATTCTTCCTGTGCCGTCAGTTTGTACCCTGGATTCAAATACATCCTGGGGTAACCGTTTGATTAGTCCTGGCAATGATGAGGAAACAGGTGTCGGTGTCTTTCCCTTGTTTTTGTGGAACATTCCCTCTCTGAAATCCATTTGTTTTGGAAATTTTAACCTGTTCTTTCTCCCCATTTTTGAAATGAATGGTGGGTGTTGAGATGCTTTGTCATTATATACTACTTGATATACATCTCTGCTGATGGAGCAGTGTGTTAATGTTGATTGTTTACACAGACAATTGACTGGATATGACATTATCTGTCCCCTACCCCCATAGCTATCCCAGTGGTGTGGTGGCTCCCCAGGGGTGTTTGAGGGCCTGTCACTAAAGCTTGTCTAAGTAGCAGCTAATCAGTGTTGGTATATATATCAAATAACCATTTATGACCAAGGGTCTGTTAGAAATCTTGAATAATATTATATGCTAAAACATTGTCAAATTACACATTTTTAACAAAATTTCATTAAATAAACAAATCAATTAGTTAAAATTCTGTATAAAACACAGTGATTGTTTTGTTTCAATTTGAAGACTACAGTCCATGAGGTAAATGTGTGTTTTATATACATGCAAAATATGGAGGTCTATAAAGATAAATTAACTGATCTATGACAGGTCAATAACCTGTACCTAAATTGAAAATTTCTTGCTTCTTACAGTAAAGAGCATATATAGGGACACCTGGAGACATGACTCACCATATCTCCATAACCAATAGTTCTATATCCACCAAACTTCACAATTTTACTTGGTGTTGAATTTACTATAAGAAAATATCTTTATTTCATCATTTTAAAAAAAATTGAAGGTCCTTTAAAGGACTGACACAACAAAATCAGCCAATCTGCAAGTGTTTCATACATTTGTAATTCCTATCTAAAATCAGTTCCGGCTATTAAATTACTGGGCCACTGAGGAAGTTTAATGAGGAACTAATGACAGATGTTTAGCCCACCTTCTCTGATGATGTTTAATTTGAGAGTTAAAGTTTGTATGTGCTATTTATTAGAAAGTACTAGAGGGATCTTTCTCAAATTTCACATGAAGGTTCACTTATCTAGGGAGTGGATCGAGATGATTTTTATTATTGAACCAAGATGTTAAATTATCACATGTGTATAAGACTGTATGAGGGGAGAACAAAAGTTTGAATCTCACAATTCAATTATATTTTCGAGATAGATATAATCACGGAATTAGAATATCTAGGTCCTTGATATAATTTAGCATTGCATACATAAGTACTGTATTGTATAAAATTAAGAGTGTAACTGTCAGTATTTTGCTGTTTATTTGAATTCCTATTCCTTCCATGGTGACTGCTACAGGCATTGAACTTGTGACGTCACAGCCAATGGGGTCCCATTCATTAAAAGAATTAGTAGATAACTTGATATTCTACATGTAAACCAAAATTTTCAAAATTGTAAATAATTTGACACCTGTGTTTACATCTGAAGTGATCAAAATCATTTTGCTTATCAGATCCCAAGAGCCCACCAGCATGACAAGAGTAAAGGCAGAGGGCTACAGAAAAAAGATCTTAAAGGTATGGAACAGCCTCACAAATGATCTAAGAAGTGTAAAAAACTGTTCTGCAGTCTGTTGCTAACATTGGACAGCAATATTTGCAAATGTTCTATTTTTGTTTTTTTTGAAGCTTTTGCAAAAATTTGCATCATTTGTAATTTTCAATGTAAGCTAGCAGTCTAAGGGAGATAATTTATTATACTCTTATAACAGAGTTTTCTCCCTTGTATTGTAAACAAACTCTTTACACACACATCAAGCATAGAAATATATGTCAAAGATGTATGTGTATGAAATATTTTTAAATCAAGACTTCATGCAACATATTTAAAATAATTTAAGTAAATATTCAAATGTTGGATTATAGCTTTAACTAAACTTAATAACATCAGTGAATGTTCTTTTTTTAGCTCACACTTCATGGTATGCATGAATCCGTGTATAACCTGTCAATTTTTACACTTAGCTTTATTCTCATATATGTATATTCAACTGATATAGTACTACACCCTTTGAAACACTTGTTTAACATACAACTATTCAGGATTATAATTTAGTTTGATAACATCTGAATGCTATATATTGTATTGTGATTACTAATGTGCTACTCTGTATGTTGTATTACTTGTTGTCATTAATGCCTCCTGTACTGTTAACTGTTACGAAATATGTGATGTTGAAAACAATTCTTGTATTTTCTATCATTATTAGCTCACCTGGTCTGAAGGACCAAGGTGAGCTTATGCCATACCGTTGCGTCCGTCGTCCGTCCGTCCGTCCCAACGTCAACATTTTCTTTTAAACGACTTCTTCTTCTTAATCACTGATTGGAATTTAACTAAATTTGACTGGAAGCATCCCTAGGTGGTGGGGATTCAAAATTGTACAAATGATGGGGCTGACCCCCCAGGGGGCTGAGGGGCAGGGCTAAAAGGGGTCAATTTGGCTATATTGCTTTAAGCGACTTCTTCTCTGGAACTAAAAAGTGGATATCAACTATATTTGACTGGAAGCATCCCTAGGTGGTGGGGATTCAAAATTGTACAAATGATGAGGCTGACCCACCAGGGGGCTGAGGGGCGGGGCAAAAAGAGGGCAATTTGGCTATACTGCTTTAAGCGACTTCTTCTCTGGAACTAAGAAATGGATATCAACCATATTTGACTGGAAGCATCATAAGGTGGTGGAGATTCAAAATTGTACAAATAATGGGGCTGACCCCCCAGGGGGCTGAGGGGCGGGGCCAGAAGAGGGCAATTTTGCTATATTGCTTCAAATGACTTCTTCTCTAGAACTAAGAAGTGGATATCAACCATATTTGACTGGAAACATCCCTAGGTGATGGGGATTCAAAATTGTACAAATGATGGGGCTGACTCCCCAGGGGGCTGGCTGAAGGGCGGGGCCAAAAGGGGGAAATTTGGCTATTCTGCTTTAAGCGACTTCTTCTCTGGAACTAAGAGATGGATATCAACCATATTTGACTGGAAGCATCCCTAGGTGGTGGAGATTCAAAATTGTACAAATAATTGGGTGACCCCCCCAGAGGGCTGAGGGGCGGGGCCAAAAAGGGTTATTTGGCTATATTGCTTTAATCGACTTCTACTGTAGAACTATGCCATGGATATTAATCATATTTAATCGGAAACATTCATGGGGGGCAGGGATGCAAAATTGTACAAATGGTGGGGCTGACCCCCCCGGGCTAAGGGGTGTGGCCAAAAAAGTGTATTACTTGGAAATAGTTGAGATCCCCACCATATAACCATGGTATACAATTGCTGAGTATAAAGAGAAGATTGCTCATTTGATTCCAGGATGGCACTAGGGTCTGGCCCCGCCCTTGGAGACAGAGTGCCTGGGCCATAACTTTAAAACTGTTGAGATCCCCACCCCAAAACTACATGTATATATACAAATGCTTGGCATAAAGAGACGAATGCAGTCATGATATCAGAATAGACCCTGGGGTCTGACCGAACCCCTAGGGACCTAGTTTCTTAGTCACAGCTTGGAAACAGCTGAAAGCCCCACCCTAAAACCGTATATACAATTGCTAAGTATAAAAATATGATTGCACATATGCTTCCAGGATGGCCTTAGGGACTGCCCCACACTTGGAGACTTAACCCCTGGGTCATAACTTCGAAATGGTTAAGATCCCTACCCCAAAACTATATATACAATTGTTGGGCATAAAGAGGCGAATGCAGTCATGATATTAGAATTGACCCCAGGGTCTGCCCCACCTTTGCAGACTTAACCCCTGGGTCATAACTTTGAAACGGTTGAGATCCCCACCCCAAAACTATATATACAAATGCTGGGCAAAAAGAGACAAATACAGTCGCAATATTATAATTGATCCTGGGGTCTGGCCACAACCCTAGGGACCTAGTTTCTGAGTCAAAGCTTGGAAACAGTTGAGAGCACCACCCCAAAACCATACATAAAATTGCTGGGCATGACAAAATCTAATACAGTTATGCTACAAGGATTGGCCTTGGGGTCTGGCATATTCCCTTGATCTCATTTTGAGAATATTTTGCCATGATTTGCTAAGGTATCCAGGTGAGTGATACAGGCCCTCTGGGCCTCTTGTCTTGTTTCTCTTGGACCTGAATCATACAGTCCTCCTGGTCATCTTGTGTCTCTTTGACCTAACCCATGCTGTCCCCCTTGTCATCTTATTTCCCTGTGACCTAATCTATGCTGTATTGATTAAGGGATTTAATTCTAATTTAGTCTGGAGCATACTTGGGCCAAGAGGACTCAATTTTGTATAAACAGTGGGTGTAGCCCTCCTTGGGGCTGAGGGGCGGGGCCCAATAGGGGAAATAGAGGTAAAACCTTTAAAATCCTTCTTCTAGCGTAAGAATTAATTAAGGGATCTCGTCCCAATTTGGTCTGGAACATCCTTAGGCCAAGGGCACTCAATTTTGTAGAAACGGTGGGTGTAGAGCTGAGTGTGGGAAATAGAGGTAAACATTTAAAATCTTTCTTCTAGCGTAGGAATTAAGGGATTTCATCCCAATTTGGTCTGGAAGAGGAGAGGGGCCCAATAGGGGAAATAGAGGTAAATCTTTTAAAATCCATCTTCTACCTTAGGGATAAAGGGATTTTATCCTAATTTAGTCTGAAGCATCCTTGGGCCAAGGGGACTCAATTTTTTATTAACGGTTGGTGTGGCTCCCCTGGGTGCAGAGGAGCGGGGCCCAATAGGGAAAATAGAGGTTATCCTTTAGAACCCTTCTTCTAGTCCGAATTTATGAGTAGATTAATTGGTCTGGTGGTTAACACTCTAGCCTTCCACGCAGGCGGCCAAGGTTTGGATCCCCAAAGTTCTTGTACGCATGGATATTCGGAAAAAGTGTTTTTCTCCTGCCCATGCACACTGTCCACTTGGAGCCAGGGTACTGATATTGGGCCTGTAGCATGCTGGGATAAGGGCTACCAAGTTTGTTCAAATGAATGACCTTGACCCACTTTCAACCTAATGTCCTTGTTCGACATTCAAGGTCACAGGCGTCATATGTTTAAATCTTTTAATAGGTTCTTATGAATCAAACACTGATATTCTGCCTGTATCAATATTTTAGTCCACTTTTAAGATTACAAGTGTGAGATAAATACCAAGTGAGCGATGCAGGCCCATTGGGCCTCTTGTTAATGGTTGTTAACTCTAAATGAAAAGTCTGTTCATTCTTACCCAGATTTAATCCATCAAGAAGTTGTGACGTCACAGTTATAACAACGCCGCATTAAATGCGAATATATAAGATTGTGTTTCTCGACACATCAACATGGATATTTTTATCTCGTCAACATAGAGATGAACAAATGAAATGAAGTGGATATTTTGCCAATTATGGCTTCATAGTTTACAGGCCAAATCCGTGTCCAAACATTTCACCATTTTGAAAAGTTTTTCTGTTTGATATTGAAAAATATTCATTAATTCTGAATATCAACATTTTTTTCGACATTTCAACTGGGCAGCTTAGTCTTGGCAATATTGATATCACCCTTGTATTAATAAATGATACAATGCAAGTGTTTTGGGGGAGGGGAAACTAGATGTTTCATTGATGTTTAAAACAGATTGTTCGGCTTAGATATTTCAACAATGAAAACCACTCCCGTTCATAAAAATCATATAATAACAATACGTAGGAGAAAAACTAGATGATTCAACATGTATAAAATCAATTGATAAACTTTATTTTTATCAAATCCACAGATCTGTTTCCTTGTATGACAAGTACAAACTACTTATGATGGAAGTAAGCTCTTCTCGTATGATTCAAACCTACTAAACTTGACTCTCTGGAATATTCAAAACAAGGAAATATTTGAAATGATCCCGCTCACAGTTTGATTATTGTAATAATTTTCATCCAGTCATTAATCTGATATCCGGTAACACAACAAAATTGGTCACCTGACAGATATGGGCAGAAATACTCTATATCAATACACATCGATTATTAGAAACATCGACTTTGATGCACAAACTAACAATTACTTCAGCCAGTCTTTGTGTCCTAATGTTTCCTTCATAATATTGAATATTTGTAAAGATGACAAATCTCCTAATACATATTCTTGAATCGATTCACGAAACCATGAAGCTTCAAGTGTAGAAAGATTTGTTTGTGCACGATTGTCGATTATAAACTGAAGTCGACCTAAGAGATATCAACCGTCGGCGTCATTGCTTTGATCTTGATGAAATTTCCTGCAAATAATCAAATATTGATTTCATACTCTGGTTTATTTTGAGGAGGATACAAACCAGTGGACATCTTAGATCTCTACACGTAAAAGAGTTAACTGTGTAATTTAATGAATATCCTACATATGACTTTCCTCATGATCAATTTGAAATCAGCCAGCACTTCTTTAAATTTTGAAATTCATATAATTAAGGGGTTTTGCAACTCCCTACTGTTTCAACAGTAGTTTAGACCACTTTTAGACCCCTAGCATCACCGATCAGCTGTACAGACCCAAGCATCACCGAT